TTGACAGCTCGAGCATGTCCAGTTCTTCGGGAAGAAGACCGGCGAGCGATTTACACTCTGCGGAGATGCCGCGGAGGGTGAGGTGGCGCAAATTGGTGAGTTTTGTTCTGTCGTTGATGACAGAAGGAAAAGACAAGAACCGATACACGGGCGGTCCGTTTAGGTTAAAGAAATCCGCATTATACGCGCAGCGCATGAGCCGCAGACATTCGAGGTTCGGGGCGCCATCAGCTGCGATATACTGTTCCAGCAGGTCGAGCGCGATCCTCATCGGAGGGTATACATCCGTGAGGATGGACAAAGAACGCCAGCGGCCTATGAATGGCAACAGTACTGTCATGGCGGCGTTCATGTGGTCGGCAGAAAACCATGCGCTGAACTTTGTCGGCAATACGCAAGAAGGAGAGGGAAACCTACACACCTCTCGTTCTCAAAGTCCCAGTTCTGGTCCCGCGCGTCGATGGAGATGTCGAGAAGGTGGTTTTGGGAGAGAGTGAGGTAGGATAAAATGCCGGTCATGTCCAAAACCTCCGAGCTCTCAACCTCACGCAACAGCTCCGGTGTGATACACAAACTGGTGTAGAGCGCCGGGGTACTCAACGCGACGCTTCGCCAGTGTCTACTGACGCGCGAGTACACGAGCGGAGTCTTCGCACTGTGGGTATCGAAAAGTTGGCACTTGTCGTCGTGCTGCCAGCCGGGGGTGAACTCGACGAGGTCGTGGGTGCCGACGACAAAGATATCGGCGAGAATCTCGACTGGGAGCGAGTGGATCGAGGTTCGGGGTGCGGGTTGGGCGGAATCTCCGGGATCCATGATGTGGAATTCTGGGAACTGGAGTCGAGTTAAGAAGGACGCCGGTCTCTTTGTCTCGCGTAGCGCAACCTTCGCGGACTGACGAATTTACCGGTCGCAGGAGACGAAGAAGAAGATGGCCAAATGAGGACAAGTAAAGAACAAAGGAACAAAGACGCGAATCTTGGACTGATGTCGGGGAAGGGCAGGCTACCGCTGATCTCCATGCCGGACCCGTCATTCGTCCGAAGTTCGGCGGCGTGAGTTCATTAAATCCAGGCTGCCAGCGGTATCGCATAGGTAACCGGGCCTCTCCTTCAGCCGCACTTTGTATATCGTCGGACAGCAACGTGTACATGGGAGCTACGGATAGTAAGTTTAATCCATGTTGAACCTCGGGTGGTTGAAATCAGATCGTGTCGAAGCGTCTCCGCCAGAAAACTAAATAAGTTCCCCGGGACGCGCAGACGGGGGCAGTACGTTGCAACGCACTACCACCGGAACTCAAGCGATGTGCACACCAGGTATACATCAGCACAACATTGGCACGAGAATGCGGCGGTAAGTACAACAATTACCTGATTGGGACGCCTCTGAATTCTAATAATGAAGGGCCATGATAAGCAGAAACTCAGTCCTGCAATGCTTGGGTATACTATGGGATGTCATCCGACGGTAATGGCATCCTGAGACTGAATTATCGCCCGGAAATGCAAGGAGCTGGAACCGATAGTCATTGTCTCGGTTTGGAACAATGTCTGCTGGATTTGACACCACATAGATTCCACTTGACGTTCGTGCGCATTTGAGTAGGTAAGTACTCGCGGTAGTAACCACATGGCGGACAGGCGGTGTACTAGGCGGAAGTAGCGATGATCAATGAACACCTGGCAAGTTAGCCTCGCGACTTTGTTTTCGGAGAGCCGAAACTTCATATGGCAAGCGGAGAGTGCTTTGTGGTAGCGGAAAAGACCCGAGGGAAAATAACCGGTTTTTGCTGAGTTGAGAGATTCTCGGGGTATATTGAATGAGATTGGTTCAATTACACAAAACCCGACTAAAGTGGCTCCCTGAGCGTCGAAGCTTCTATGTGAGGAGGTGTCCGCTTGACGCACTTCCCGTATCTTTAGCGGGTGTCACTGAACCGTTTTTGAAGGTTCCCACTTCGCTCAACTTGCAAATGCGAGTGGACCAGACAGTCTGCAGCTTCGCAAACTGGTTCTCAAGCGGGTGGGTATGTTTCACGAACCCAGAAATGAACGGTAAATTCAACCGCTCCAACTTTACAACTACACAGAAGGGACACCAAAACTTCAAACCCCGTCTGAATTTTCAATCCAGCAGCGTGTTTCTGACGAACGAAGATCAAAATTCGCAGGAGGCGTGTATGATGTCCACAAACTTGGTTTAATCTCCCCCCGTCGTTTCTTCGCGATGAACATCTCCGCCCGAGCCCAATGATCCACCTCTCCCCTCGTCCCCTTGAGCCACTCGTCCAGGCCGCTTCGAATCTTCATATACACAAAGCGGTCGTCGCCGCCCGCGTCGTCGAGATCTGGTGCAGCGGGACTGTGATCGAAGTCGATCAGAACCTGGAGGCTCTTGCACGTCGCTAGGATCGGCGCTACCATCTCAAACAGGTCGGACAGCAGCAGATGTGTAAGTGAGGGGAGGCTATTAAGGAAGGAGAGCCAGGCCGAGGTGTCGAATATGCCGCTCATTCGGTATAAGCTGAGATGCGTGACGTAGGTGAACATGGGCCGGAAGACCGCAGAGTCGGTTCCGACAAGGAGAGGGTCCAGGGTAATCACCAACCGATGTGGTCTCAAACGGGCGAGAGCAGGGAGGTAAGACGGCGATAGACGAATAGTAAAGGTCAGGTGCTGCACCCCGGCGCAAGCAGCGAGGAGATTTTGTACTATCTCAGCCGTTTCGTCGCGAATGAAGAAGAACGGAACGACCAAATGCCGCACGTGGGTGCGGAAGAAGGAGGGAGGCCGCGTATTGGACTGGATCGCGCGCTGAAGGTCGCGGAAACGGCAGGTGGAGTGCTCGCCATGCGGCGTGACTGTCCTGTACTTGATTCGCTCGATCCTCAGACGGTAAATTAGGTCTTGCCACGACCGTTTGTGTACACACTCACCACTCACGAGTGCGGTGCGAGACGAGGAGAAGCGAGGGGATGAGCTCGGGGAACAGAATGGCCGCCGTCTCAAAGATTTCTTGCTCCAATTCGAGCGGGAGGACAGGCGAGGGAATTTGGCTCATGGTGGACGTGTGACTCAAGGAGCGATTGATGCGACTCGGCTTCTTCGGCATCCACCGACATTTGTTCATGTTTACCGGTTGTTCAAAATGTTCAACTTGCAGTTTTTTCCGAGTCATCGCGTGCCCAGAGTAAGGCAAGTACGCAGCCCGAGCACGATCAGTCAGATATACAGGTATTCACAAGCTGCTGGAGGAAATTGGCGCTCACCCTCAGTATTTACTCCAGTTCAAATCTCCCCGGCCTTCGCCCCGGGCTCCGTCTATGGGATGTATGCATGCAGCCGGCCAGGACGGTCCCACATCAATCTCAACGGTCGATAAAAAGCATCATGCGGAGATTCGGTGCGCCGAGTCACCTTCGCTGCCTTCGAGCAACGCAGAGACTGCGGGTGCTCTGATGTGCTCGGACATGCATTGATTTGGGTGGGCACATTTGAGCACATTTGAGCCCACCACAGCACACGGCTTTTTCACTGGGGCTGAGCGTTCGCCGCTGAGGCACGAAGAACAGCTCCTTCAAGCCGCGGGCCTGACTGGCGAGCAAGACGCCGCCGTTCCGCCTACCTTTCGCCGAGGCTTGGGATTAATATTGGATCCAGAAAGTCCAGGGAAGTCCACCTTCTTCGCATCCGAAACGCGGAACCTCTTGCAATGGCGTTTGCAAATTACTATGGCCTCGGCAAAGCGTCGAATTGCTGGCGAACTGCTGGCGAACTGCAAGTCTGCAAGTGCCAAGCATCAGTTTGTTGGGAAGGAATCAGAACACGGAAAGCGATAGAAATCGAGTAAACACGGGCGCCGCAGTTGACGCCCAGGAAGAGGCCTGGAATTGTGGAGCAAAGGGAAGAGCAGGGTGACACCATCACGTGTGACATGCCGGCGTTTGCCGTGGCGAAGCGGCATCATTCGGCATGATGGCGGTGGCTGATGGGACGGTTCAACTTCGTGTGAAGAGCTCACTATGCGGCTCGGAAGATACGCCGGAGGGGAAGAGGGGGTGGGAGGGGCTCCTGTATATTGCGGTTCTGTAGGAATATTATGGCAAGAAACTCTTACCCCGGCGGTTCAAGTGGAATTGATGTTGCGCTTTCTTTCAAGAGGTGCAGCAAGGGCTCAGCTGCTCTTCCTCCGAGGCTGCAGTGCCCCAAACACGTCAGGATACATGGGATGGACCCTCATTTTGTTTCAATGGCGCCGCTGCCTTGGGGAGGAATAATACTGCAAGAAATGCTTACCCCGCGGTTCAATTGGAATCGATGTGAGAGGTGCAGCAAGCGTTCAGCTGCTCTTCCTCTGAGGCTACAGTGCCCCAAACACGGCAGGATATCTGCGATGGACCCTCCTTTCGGTTCGCCTTTGAAAAATGAGCGGAGTGATGGTAACCTTGATGTCGGAGTTCAGCCTTCTGAATTTCGGTAGCTCTGAGAGGTGCAAAGGTTCAGCTGCTTTTCCTTTGCTACAATATCAGGATATATTTGAACCGCGCCGCTGTTTAAAAAATACTATCAGCGGAGTGATGGGAACTTTGATCGGAGCTTAGCGTTGGGAATATCTGTAGCTCTTATTTCTCACAGGGTAGATTCTAACTCAGGGGAGCGGGCTGCTATAGCTCGTATGCGCCCTTGACCTCTTTCGCTAAGGATTCTATGTGAAACTCTGCGAGACAATAATGTATCAGCGGAGTGATGGTAACTTTGATCGGAGCCTTTGGCATTCTGAATTTCTGTAGCTCTTACTTCTCATAGGATAAATCCAAGCTTTGGGGGGCGGGTTACTACAGTCCGTGGGCGCCCTTGGCCATTTTTGCTAAGGATTCTCTTGGAAACCACGCGAGAAATCCGCAAAAGAGTCCTGAAACGCCTCGGGGATCTCCGACGCAAATCTAGGCCTTCCAGGGCGCCCTGGAGCTTCTCCGAGGTCACCAGAAGCAAAAACTTTGGACGCTATGGGGTTTGAACCCATGACCGCATACATATTCCGTGCACATTGAAGTACAACGCGCTCTTGCAAAGCATGAGTGATACCACTACACCAAACGCCCGTGAAATAAGCTTTTCCGCCACGGCATACGGCCCAAAAGCTTAGCGCTGTGGAACAGGGCTTCCCGTTCCCAACCGCGCCAATTTTTAAGTGAAAGCAAAGGTGAAGACACGGCGGAGCAGCGATAGTCAAGTTCAACCAGGCGGATCAAACCGATCAAAATAAATTGATCGGCCCCGCCTGCCCCGCCCGCTGCCCCGCCCACCCGAGCTATCCGCCATCAGCGGGCACAGGTAAGTAAGTTGCCAGTCTAATGCCAACCTTCTCCGATTGTTCGTGAAGTAAGGAGCAGCAATAGAGTTCTGTTCAGCCTTGGTTCAACTTGGTGCTTGGATGTGCACCAACACCCTCCCGGGAAGTTCAACCTCGTCCTCACATCAGCGTCAAGGAACAAGGTAGTTGCCCAGGTCCATCAATTTTCCTAGTCAAAAGGAAGAAGACAAGGCGGGGCAGCGATAGAGTTAAGTTCAACCAAGCGGATCAAATTGATCCCAACAAATTGATCGGCCCCGCCTTGGCCCCGCCCACCAGCGCCATCAGCGGCGACGGGTAAGTAACTTGGTAAGTAGGGTTGCCAGCCCAATGGCAGCCTCCTCCGATTTCTAGTGGAGCAAGGAGCCGCAATAGAGTTCAGTTCAACCTTGGTTCAACCTGGTACTTAGATTAGATGTCCACACTCCCGGGATGTTCAACCTCGTCCTCGCACGTTGAGATGAAGCAGTCCGGGAGGAGGAGGACTCGGAGGAGGGTGTATGCTAGGCTCCAGCGGAAGGCGCCCTGTTGACCTCAACTGACACCGGCTACATATAATTATATGGACGCACCCAGCTGTCTACTGTACACGATAACACTGCCAAAGATACACTAAGGAGCTCTAATAATTTACAGTGTATTATACGGGCATCCGAGTCAAAGCATTAACCGCCTACTCAAGGTCTACGGACGAGGAGTAGCCGGGGCGTCATCTCCTTCAAAAACAAGCGAGGTGTGGTGTGCCGGGAGCGCATTCGCATTCGCAGCGCTGCCAGCAGTACCAGCGGACGGGTCAGGTATCTCACTGCCAGGACTATCGTCCACCGGCTTCATAGCATCGGCCTCGTGTCCGCTATCGAACGTCCGCTCTATCTCGGGTACGTCGCTGAGCCAGCGATGCAGCCCCAGCTCTCCCGCGCCCATGCGCCCCTCTGGTTTTAAATCCAGCATGGGCAGCAGAAACTCGGCGATGGCCTCCGCATCGGGCTGGGGAAAAAGGTATTTGTCGTGCAGGACCGACGACAGTGGCCACGGGCGCAGGTTCTGGATATGTCGGAGTTTCCCTGGATGCAAGTAAACGTCAGCCTGCGAAAGTCTGGCGATAAAGTAGAGAGAGGGAGACGTTGGGGAGACGTACCACTGGAGTCAAAGAACTCTCCGCTCCATCGGCCCGCCTTCAGCACCTCAGCCGGGAGGTCCCCAAGAAGCTCGATTATCTGCGCCATGTGGTCATCGTCCTTCGTATATCGCGGCTTACCACCAGCCCCTTTCGGCGCGGGAGCAGGGTCGAAGAGGTAATCCCCGCCCGTCAGGAGCTCAAACAGCTGGAAGTCCGAGTTTTAAGAACGACATTCGCGCCGGAGCTGGCTCAGAAACGCACCAGACACGCGACACTCCATATATCTGCACTCGTCCCCCACGTCGTAGAGCCGAGGATGACTTCGGGACATCGATATTGTCGCGTTTGGATGTCGTTTGTGAAATGGTGATTCGTCCAGGTGGCTGAAGAGCGACGAAAGGAAACGCGGTCAGAACGATAAATTAGGGGCTGAAAGGAAGACGGGCTCACCGTTCCCTAGGTCTGCGATTTTGACCGTAATCATCTCATAGTCGAGCTCCCCCTCGACAACCTCCTCCACCCAACCCTCCTCGCCTTCCACCTTCTCGCTGCGGCCACCGGAGCGGTCCACATCCAGAGTCAAAGGCGGCGGAACAGCAGAGGTGGACGCTGGCGCAGATTTGGACAGGGATAGCGCGGACAAACCGGCACCAAGATCCTCGGCGCTGGCTACTCGTGCCTTGCCCTTGCCCGCTGCGGGGGACTCGTCGTCCGCAGATATTTTGAGCATCCCGAGCCCCCATTTGTCTGCGGGCAGTTTCGATCGCCCTCCGCTGCCGCTGCTCAGCGAGGACAGGCTGACAAAGCTCCCACTCGGGCTGGGGCTCAGCGGTTGACTGCCCTGGATGTTGATGGTATGGTGGCGCGCACCAGGCGTCTGGTTACCCCCGCGGCCAGTGGACGGAGGGACGCCAGTGATTCTCTGCCTTGCGGGCGGAATCTGATGTGGAGCTGGGGGCGAGGTGGATAGCGTCTGCAGAGCGAGCTCAGCCTGAATTACCGACTCGACGTCCGGGATATAAATGAGGACATTCTCCGGCTTGAGATCTATCAGGGAGAAGGTCAGACGTAGCGGAAGATATTTTGGAGGGCTCTCACCAGTGTGTATCACGCCACACAATCGATGCATATAATCGAGACCGTGTAGGACTTGTTTCGCGATTTGCTTCACTAGTGGGATAGGAACGCCTTTATTCTGTGGGCGATACATCGTATCGGAACTCAGAGAGGATGATTGCTCGGGCGTACCTGGTGTCTCTTGATTAAATTCAAGAGACTCTCGCCCAAAACCTCAAACACCATACAGACATGCGTGCCATTCGGTCCCTTGTGTCTGAAGTGGTCGAGGAAAGCTATAACGTGCGATCTGCCTGGATGGGAATTCGGGGTACTCGGGTCGGAAGACGTCACTAGGCGCTGAAGAAGCTTTATCTCGTCCACCGCCGTCTCGGTGTACCTAGGGGCGGATTTAACGACTTTGAGGGCGACATGTCGCTGCATCCTACACATAATTGAGCTGGACTGTGATCCAAGAAGAAGGGAAAGGACGCACCGCTCGTCGCGTGCCAGCCATACAGTGGAGAAGTGACCCCAGCCCAGTTTGCGGACGACGACATATCTGCCGTCGAAAGAATCTCCTATAGAGACAGGGTGGTAACCGCCGAGCTTGTATTCCTGCCAGTCCTCCTCCTCTTCAGCCATAGGGGGGCAGTAATGTTGAGCAGAAAGGCAGGGCGTTATCTTTGCATTCCTTATCTCTACCCCGCTTGTTCCACGCCTGTTTCAACCATCAAACAACGGTAATCCAATGTATCCTTTTGCGTGGTTGGGGGAAGGTGGAAAAGGTAGAGACGGAATACGCACGAACGGGTAGAACGCAAACACGGATGTGGAGGTCAAAGCGAGGTTTAGTGGCTGCTTTAGGGCCCCTACCACAATCCGGCACGATCGGCATCAGGTTGTTGCAAATAAGCGCGACAGTGATGGGTGGGCATATCACCGTCTTGGGAGGTTCTAAACTCACACGAGCGCCCCTTGTCCAATCCCACAGGTCCCAGAATTATCGCGAAGTCCCCGTGTGGCTGGGCGTGAAAACACCGTCAAAATCGGCGTGGAATTCATCTGGGAGAGAGTAATTTCAAAGGCCGGCCTTCTTCGCCGACTCGGAAGCTCGAGCGGATGAAGGGTTAGCGCGATGAGGACTCGGGGAAAAGCTCGGGAAGTCGGCGTGACAAGTTGAACCAAACAGGTGAGCAAAACCTAGAACAAGTCGCCGAGCCAGAATAATCTGTGAAGGCTACGTTGCGGTGGTCAATTTCCGTGAGCAACTATGAAGGATTCAGAGGAGCAGCTGAACCCACACACGAGTTAGTTTCCTGGAAGGGTTCGATATAAAAATGCTATCGTCACTGCTCCCACGGCGGCGTACCGTACTAACGAGGATGAGTACCTTGGTCTTTGGAGTACGACGCCATTAAGACTCAGAGCGGGGAAGATGGAGGTCGGAGTCAGAGTCGAAGATCACATGCAGGACCGAGAGGGTACACGACATCCATCGCGCAATTTTCGAAAACGATGGCTCTCTTCTTTAGCACGACCAGAATGGCGCGTTCCAGATGGTCACCCGCCTAAGAAGGGAAACAAGACGAGAATAGACGAGAATCAACACAGGCAGTTCAACGCCAGGGCGGGTAAGATATAAACCCTCGCTCAATGCGACGAACAGAGTTCCAGACTACTGTGGCGTGTATTCAGCGGACCCAAAAAACCCATATCATACATGAAGCACCCCGTCCTTTTCTCGATCCTCTAGCTGCGACTGCGAGGATTTCTCGACCTCCTCCACACTCTCCGTGACGCTATCCTCAGCCGCAGGAGGCGACAACGGCCGCGCACGACGAGATTGGTACCACGCGACACACGTCGCAATAGTCGCGCCGACCGCGAAGAACGCCGCGGGCCACGGCATTTCTGCGGACACCCGGACTATTTCCCGAGTTAACCCCTGGATAACCATAGAAAGATGACGGCACTCACTGTAGCTCACATCGCGATACCGCAGCGCGAGCCCAAGACGGTCAAGTGTCCCCTGTATTGTCGACGCGGGGAGCGCCGTATCCCCCTGGCGGACATCAACGGTGCCGCTGTGGGTAAAAACGAACTCGGTGTGGAAGGCGGCCGCGACGATGAAGCAAACGGTGCCCAACAGCATCCCGACAGCCTGCTGCCCTAAATTCCGCGTAGAAAGCGGCTCCTCCGGAAGCTCAATCTTGAATCGCTGCAGGATGAATGCCGGGATAATCTTGAATATATCCTGCAGCATTAACATGACGATATTGGAGGCCACGAACGTAACCAAGTTGTTGGCAACGAAGAGGATAATGGAAGTCGTCTTTATGTCTGTCTCATAGGCCTATTATTGGGGGGCCAGCCGTGAAAGTGCGGACTGACTGACCACCATATTTAAGCGACGCCGATAAACCAGGCGAAAGGTTGCTGTTGAGGTGCTTTTGAGCCGTATTGTGGCTGTTCCAGAACTCTGGGTTCAACCATATCTCGGGTATAGACAGCGCTGGATGCTCACTTTGTCCAAATCTTGACGCAGAACGCACCGACGATGATTGAGATCA